TGATGGTGTCCTGGAAATGATACAGATATAGAAGAAACAGACTCCCTGCCAGGAAGTAGGTAACCTCTCAGGGAAATGGCTGCTACAAATACCCGGTGTGCATGGTGCTTGATGTTGACCTATTCCACTTACACACCACCCAGTGGGACCCATTCCGTATGTAAACTGAGGACTTCAGAAGATATAACACACATTTCATTGAACAGCGCTTAAAAAAGTTAAGAATCTGCTAGCCAGGCAGCATTGCACCTCACGGATGGCCTAACAAGGGCACCCAGGGTTGGGCATTAAAACACCCAAGTTTTAGTTCTGTGTCTGGCACTACTCCACATTGAGAACCTGGGCACTGGCTCCTTTCTCCACCTTATTTTCCTCAATGATAAAATAGACATAACATTTTTTATCAGCCTTGCCGGCCTCATTGGCATTAAAAATCTTGAAAGATCCCAGTACCTTTCACACGCCAGAAGGTTATACTGGAAGCTTGTAAAAGATGATCTCAGAATGTCTTACTCTCCCCTTCATAGCACAGGCAAAGCCCCTGCTCCTGGATGGCACACTTACAGAGCCACCTCTGTCCACACCTCTTATGTGCATTTGGCACTGAGCTATCCACTTAGCTTTCTGAAAGTGTGGTCCTCACAACCCAGTGCCCATCCCTTAGGCCTGGCTCTGACCAAACTCTAAGGTAAGAGTCAGTCTCCAGGAAGAAGAGTTCAAACCCTTTTGCCCCTTTCTTAGGTGGTGCCATGATGAAGGGGCACACATGTGAGGTTCGTCACCAAATGTAGCTGGGTTTAAATGGTGGCTGACAGTTGCAGGCTGTGTAGCCCTGGGCATGTCCCTTATCCTTTCCATACCTGCTTCTCTGTCTTTATGCTGAAGATGCTGATGAAAATATGCAACTTTCAGAGTTGTGTTTTTGAGGAAGCATCCGAGGTTCATGACATGTGACAGGCACTTGGTAAATAGTAGCTCATATTGATTACGGTTGCAAATGCTGGCTTACTTTCTGGCCCTTTGAAAGTGAGAGACAGGAGCACAGCTCTGTCTGTGAGAGAAAAGATACTCTTACTTTGCATCTGAATAATCGAGGACCTGTCTTCATCAGACAAAGTTGCTTGGGCCTACCTGGATTCCAGAAGCTTCCACTGAAATACAGGTTCAGAGTATACTGAGTTAGACCTTTTGTCCTGTGGAATTGTAGCCATACTAAGCACGTTTTAGCCTCCTTTCTTTCTTGTCCTTTACCTCTTTTCTCCATTTCTAAGGCTCCTTCTGCTCTTTCCTTCATTTCCCAACACACACACACACACACACACACACACACACACACACACACACACGTATTTGACCTACTGTATATATATTTTTCTGTCATCTTTCTACCAGAGGTTTTTATTTTGTAGCAGCAAGCCTCTACAAGCCTTTGAGAGTTTTCGTTTTGAGGTGCATGAGAGAGAGAGAGAGAGAGAGAGAGAGAGAGAGAGAGAGAGAGAGAAAGAGAGAGAAGTTTTTTTTTTTTTTTTTTTTTTTCCCCTGTGCCTGTTATTCTTGGAGAGAGACTGCCCTGGCTTAGTTGGTGGGAGAGAAGGGGATGGAAGGCTTGGGTGGGAAGGTGGGGGAGGGATGTGGCATCTCTTCCGGGACACTGTGAGTGCTGGTTCACCAGGGCATGGGAATCTTAGGGTCACCAGGGAAGCACCCAGAGTGCAGGGCGGAGGTGCTTCTTCCCAGAGAGACAATGAAGCAGCAGCCGGTAGCATCCCCCGCCTGCCTCCTGACCACAGCTCACCCCTCCCAGCCCCCACCCCCGGGTTAGTGTCCTGCCTGGAAAAACAACCTCGAGCTACCATGATTACATCTGTTCCTCCAGGAATGGAACAAAGATGACAAACCGAGACAGTCAGAAGTCCCTGCTAGGCAGACCAGCCTTCAAGTCCAAGGACACTGGGCAGGACCTGTTGTCATTCCTCAAGCTCCTCATGATGTTCGTTACCAGATTTCCTGTGGCACCCAGTGACTTGGGGAGAAAGCTGAAGCCCAGAAAGGTGGAGGGGCCTAGTAGTAAACTTACACAGCTCTCGTTTCCTGACTGGAGATCCCAAGTACACATTCCCTTGAAGCTCAGATGGGGCATTCAGCTTAGGGCAACTACTTTCTAGTCCGCAGTGGGCTCAGACACAGTCACCACACACACTGAGACACTGAGCACCAACACACAGTCCAGTGGCCCCAGGTCCCTCTATTTAAGATTGCCAGGAAAAGCTCAAGGGATGATTGGAATTTTCCCTGAGTACCATTAGCAAGCACTATCATCATTAAAGGAATAAGACCTCAGCAAGCAAGGAAATTTGCTTTCCATAAAGAACTAATTTCCTGCAGTTTCACTGACCTTGGGTTTCTACCCAATAGTGGAAGCAGTGTTTCACTCACTGTCTTTTCCGAGGACAAGCCCTCTCTGTGGGTCAGGACCCCTACTACCCTGAGGATGGCTTTGTGGGAATTAGGAAAAGCTATCACTTCCTCAATAAATTTATTTTAATCTACTAAAGCACTGCCATAATACACTGATTTTGTTAGACTGACATTTAACTGCAGAAAACTATCATCATAAATATCACAAGTCTACAATGTCTATGGAAGGAACAGTGCCCCTGTGTCAGTCACGTTTCCACATAACGGACAATGCTGAAACTTCATGACTTAAAGTAAAAATAAGCATTAATCATCTAACAGCTTCTGTGGGTCAGAAATTCAGGAGAAGCTGAACTGAGCAGTCCGGCTTCTCTCACGAGGGTGCTGTAAGGTGTCAGCAGGGGGTGCCATGAGTGCATGGTCTGATGGCAGCAGGGGGAGCCACTCAGACAGCGGGCAAGTGGGTGCTGCTGTTGCAGTGGACCTCGATCTCTTATCACGTGGCCCTCTCCTGGCCTGAGCATCCTCCCTGTGTGGCGCCTAGCTTAACCAGAACGAGCTATGAAGAGAAAGCAAAGCTGAAGCGGCCATGTCTCCCAGGACCCCCACAGAGGTCACCTGTTATCACTCCCACAGGTCTTATTGGCCACCTTGTTGGTGTGAAGGGGAGCATGCCAAGGCATAAAAATCCCACCACCAAGAGGCAGAAATCACTGAGACTGTTGAACCTCCCACTGCCACCCCTTGGATAAAAATCCTTTTTATAGGGAACAATAAACTGTAAAACAATAATTTCAGCACTAATTACTAGTACAGCACTTGCCATAGACTTTTGCCAACTATGTACCAGGACCATGCCAAGCATTTATGGTACTGATGGTAGTACCTGCCCTCAAGCAGCTTACAATCTAGAAGAGATGCCAGACATAACTATCCCTGGTTATATAATACAAAACAGAGTCAAATAATACAATCAATGGCTGGGCTCATCAGGTGTCCAAATACCAAGGCTGGAGAGAGAGACTGGAGTGTGGTATGATGTGGACCATTGAAGATGCATGGTATTGGATGTTTTCCCACAGGAGCTCAACATGAACAAAGGTTAAAAGGCTGAATGCTATGTTTGGGAATTGAGAATAGGAGGCGCAGGGGTACATTTGGGGCACACTAGAGGGGAAGGTTATAGCCATGTGCCACACACAGTTAGTGCCACCCACAGCTGTGTGAAACGGAATGCGAAAGCCTGAGTGAGCTTCAGCTCCCTTTCCTCCCTCCTTTCCCTTCTGCTGGCAGAGCTTTGCCAAAACCACCAGAAAGGGGTCACTGCCACAGAGCAGGGAAGGGGAACCAGCAAGTGTCCGTGAAGGGCCTGGGAGGGGTCCATGCTCCCCTGTGAGGCCAGACCCAGCGTGCCTGCTGGACTTCAGTAGGCCCTGCTTGCCCTTCCTGCTTGGCCTCCCTGGAAGCCAGGGCCACTCACCCCTGCCAACCACAGTCCTTCCCACCTTCTGAGACAAAGGAGAGCCTCAGCCCCTTGAGTACCCACTGTCCAGGCCACTCACTCAACGATAGCAGAGATGGCTGGCCATTCGAGGGACCTTTGCTGCCAGAGGCAGGAGTTAAAGCTGGTTATTGATTATTATGCATACAATGGCCATGAGTATTTTACAGAGGTTATTGTGTAGACACAGTTTTTCATTTCCCTGAGGTAAACGGTCAAGAATGCCGTTTTTAAGAAACGGCCATACATTTTCCAGAGTGGCTGTTTCATTTTACATATCCACCAGCAATGTACCATTTTCTCTACATCTTCACCAGCCTTTGGCCTCTTCATTATTTTTATATTTTAGCTATTCTCATAGGTATGTAGCAACATCTCCTTATGGTTTGGAAAGGTCCGGGGTGGAGGAGGAGCGGCCTTGTGCTTCTCTGGTTCCCTGGTGTTTTCGCATTCTTTTTGTTGTTGTTTTTTACCGGTACCAGGGATCGAACTCATGACCGCCTGCTTGCAAGGCAGGCACTTATGCCGCTGAGCTAAATCCCCAGCCCCGTGTTTTCACATTCTGATCTGCACTTCTCACTTCCTTCCTTACTCCTTACTCTGCCTTCCTAGGGCTGAAACTTCCAGGAGGAAAATGTGTGAGGATCATTCCCCACTGACACATGGGGCTTACAGGTTGTTGGTTCTTTCTTTATCTTTTCTCCTCATTTTAATTGTATAAAGATAAGGGTCAGGTCTTTCTAAGGACTATCTATGGGCCACATTTGGGTGTTACCACCCGTGGAAGGGCCACGTGTGTTTTGACAAAAGCCAATTTTTGTCCAGCTTGAAAATGTTAATAAACTGAGACTTGTGCTTCCTGAATGGAAGGGATGCCAGTCACCCTCTGCCCTGCTTGTGTTGGGCTGTGCATTTCAGGTGAGGTTTGGCAAAGCTGAGAGGTAGAAGAGCCAGATTTCTGGTGGCAGGGAACCCCTTAAGCAAAGTAGGGGTGCGGGCAAGCAAGCAGTTCAGAGTCCGGGAGCTGATTCTCTTCCCGAGCCATGCTGCTAACCCACTGGGCCTCTCTGTGTCCTTGCAGGGCTCTGGCTGAGAACATGGCCAATGGCATTGACGAGCTCATCGGCATTCCCTTCCCCAACCACAGCAGCGAGGTGCTGTGCAGTCTCAACGAGCAGAGGCACGCAGGGCTGCTGTGCGACGTGCTCCTGGTGGTGCAGGAGCAGGAGTACCGCACACATCGCTCTGTCCTGGCTGCGTGCAGCAAGTACTTCAAGAAGCTCTTCACAGCCGGCAGCCTAGCCAGTCAGCCCTATGTCTATGAGATCGACTTCGTGCAGCCCGAGGCTCTGGCCGCCATCCTGGAGTTTGCCTACACCTCCACACTCACCATCACTGCCTCCAATGTCAAGCACATCCTCAATGCTGCCAGGATGCTAGAGATCCAGTGCATCGTGAATGTGTGCCTGGAGATCATGGAGCCCAGTGGCGGTGGAGGTGAGGAGGATGACAAGGAGGATGATGATGATGACGAAGATGACGACGATGAAGAAGATGAAGAAGAAGAGGAAGAAGAGGAAGAAGAGGATGAGGATGATGATACAGAGGACTTTGCTGACCAAGAAAACTTGCCCGACCCCCAGGACATCAACTGCCACCAAAGCCCCTCTAAAACGGACCATCTCACGGAGAAGGCCTATTCAGACACACCCAGGGACTTCCCTGATTCTTTCCAGGATGGCAGCCCTGGTCATCTGGGTGTGATTCGGGACTTCTCCATTGAGTCTCTGCTAAGGGAGAACCTGTATCCCAAAGCCAACATCCCTGATAGGAGACCCTCCTTATCTCCATTTGCCCCAGACTTCTTCCCACACCTCTGGCCAGGGGACTTCAGTGCCTTTGCCCAGCTGCCTGAGCAGCCAATGGACAGTGGGCCACTGGATCTGGTAATCAAGAACCGGAAAATCAAGGAGGAGGAGAAGGAGGAGCTCCCCCCACCCCCGCCACCACCCTTCCCTAGTGACTTCTTCAAGGACATGTTCCCTGACCTGCCTGGGGGGCCACTGGGCCCCATCAAGGCAGAGAACGACTATGGTGCCTATCTTAACTTCCTGAGTGCCACCCATCTGGGGAGCCTTTTCCCACCCTGGCCACTGGTAGAGGAGCGCAAGCTGAAGCCCAAGGCCTCTCAGCAGTGCCCCATCTGCCACAAAGTCATCATGGGGGCCGGGAAGCTACCACGGCACATGAGGACCCACACCGGGGAGAAGCCATACATGTGCAACATCTGCGAAGTCCGCTTCACCAGGTGCGAAACTGTAGCCAAGGGTAAGGTGAGGATGCTGGGACAGGGCCAGAAGCTGAGAGATGACAGCAGAAAGCTGCATGAAGGACCAGAGATGGAGAAAAAGCCCCGGGTTGAGCTTAGACACACATTGGGTTCATTGCTAGGAGGGATGGCAGCCATTACCGTGCGCTGACTTTCCAACCCATTTTAGGAGCTAAAATACCTTCTCAGAAACTGTTAAATGGGAGCCCAGGATATAGGACAGGTCAGGGCAGAGCTGTTCTGATGAGCCAGAGGTGAGGGGCCTCACTGCCATGCCCACATAGCCTCCCTGTCGCCTTCCCAGCTACGTATCCATGGCACTCTGTTGAAGGCTTGCCAGGCAGGGTAGCCCTTTGTTTCATGGGAGAAGCAGCACCTATCCTTTATGAAGCAGGATCTGCATGCCAAGTTCCAGGAATAATGGGGAAGCACTATTGCCTTTGTTTCCAGGCTGTCTCCCAGTGGCATGCTGGCACCTGTAAGCCCAGCTGGACAGTGGCAGAGCTGGGACTTAGATCTCAGTCCATGTACAATGGCATACTCCGGAGAGATCCCCAGTGAGCCATCTCCTTAAGGGATGGGCTTTTTTTTATGTTCTCCCCTTTGCCTGTCCATGTGAGGAAGGAGGATAACTCTGTTCTAAGATTTGAAGGGAACATAGGACAAACTTCATCTTCAGAGACACCATCCCATTCAGCAGACATGTGCTATGCCCCTTCCCTTTACAGCAACTTTTGTAGTCAAAACTGACAGGCAGGATGTGGGATCAGAGCTGTCTGCTAATAGGTTTTTGAAAGGCCTCAATTGTGGGGAAACATGGACAGTTGGTGCCATCGATGGCCCTTGGTCCTCTAGCTGTCCACAGTGCAGAAAGGCCAGGTGAGTGGCCTCACGTGAGTGTCTCAGTCATTTGATGTGTTGGATGTGCATAGAGCCCATGGACACTGTCCTATAGTCATAGCATGTAAGACTAGGACCTTTCCCCACTGCCATTGTCCCCTCAAAGAACTCACCTTGAATCCCCCCATCCCCCCTCCCACACACTCATTCTAACCATTCGCTATCCCCCCCAAATCCTCTTGGAAATTTGCCTTTGGGGATTGCTGGATGTTCATTCTTTGAATTTTCTCTCAATGGGCCCAAGGCTTTGGCCTTTGAAGGTGGAGTGAAATTTTCTAATCAGGTTGAATATCAAATCAGAGACTGTGCATTTCCAGGAATAACAAGGTGAGTCCTCTAAACAGGTGCAACCTGCCTTCTTGGGTGGACAGGGAACACTATTTGGAGTTGCCAGGGAGTGGTTTCAGGAACACATTCAAGGGGCTGGGGATTTAGCTCAGCGGCATAAGCGCCTGCCTTGCAAGCAGGCAGTCATGAGTTCAATCCCTGGTACTGATAAAAATGAAAAAGACCAAAAAAAAAAAAAAAAACACACACACACACACACATTCAAGTGGCAGTGACATTACTAAAATAGCTCTGTGGCCTCCTCTGGTGACTTCATTGAAGGAAACATTCAGGGGTCTCCAGCAGCTATATAGTCCTTACTCACAGCTGTTTCTATGAGGTTCCCCAAACAGAATCACCCCAGATGCTTCCAGGTGGCAGCAAAGAGAGAATCTATAGGTCCAGGGGAGAGGCAAGCCTCACATACCCAGGACATGTCCCCTTCCTCTTAGCAGCAAGCCACCTGGAATGCTAACTTCAGGTGTTCTGGCCCTGTTCTTCCACAGAGCAGGTGCACTTTGAGTTCTTGAGAAGCACCTCCCCTTGGGTGTCCCTTGAAAACACGCCTGCACACTAATACCACCTTGGGCAACACTGTCTTCACCTTCCACCCCTGCCTTCTGAATGGCCTACAGGACTCAGCTAGAATAGCTGAAAAAGACTCAACCTAAAACACAGGAAGGTGGGGATGTAAGCCAGCATGGAGGTGATATCAGAGGTCACATACAGTGCACTCATCCTCAGCAGGGACTTTCCTCCGGTCCAGATTCCCAGCCCACTGGGACTGACATCAAAGACTCAGGCCAGATCGAGGAAAGCCAGCAACTGCATCACTGCAAAGTGCTCTCTCCTGCCCATCCGGACCCCTCTTTCCAGACCTAGTTCTAGGCAGTGGCTGCGAGGGGACCTCTCCTTTTTCAGGGGACACTCAGGCCAGTGGCTCCAACAGCCTGTGTATCTCAAGGTACCATATGTGAGCCAACTAGCACTTGACTCCCCTTCTTCCTTCCTCCTTTCTGGGACTTCCCCACGCCAGCCCTCTGTGAGGTCCACCTTCCCTAGGGAAAGCTTTAAACTTGGCCAGTGACTGCAGATAGATTTCTTGTCCTCTGGACACTGGAATATCCCCTGAGAATAGGCCTCCTGGTTTGGGCAGTGATACAATTTTATATAGGAGGGTAACATTCCAGAATATCCCTCCCAACACATTCCTGAGGGTCGGTTAGGGTGGCCTCTGTGTCTGCTACCCCTCCAGGCCACATCGACCCTGGGGCAGTTCCAGCCACCCAGCCATCTGTCCTGCCTGCCCTCGGGTTACTCCTGCGCTGCAGAATGACAGCCATCTGGGCCCCCAGGCCGTCTCCAGCTGCAGCAGCTGTGATCCAGCTCCCACCACACCTCCCCTCACTTGGTTCCCACTGGGCTCTGACCCTCCGGAACAAGATCAGACAAGCTCTGGGCCCCCTCTCTGGAGCAAAGAAAGGCCAGGGGCAGGGGACAGGAAGGGTGGAGATTTGCTGGCCTGCCTCCCATCAGGGACTCTGTTTCTCACTATGAACTGTAGCTGTCTCTGCAGAACACTCCCACCACATTCTTCAGAATCACTGGTCCTTTGCTTCCTGCGCCCTCTCCAGGGCTTCCCAACAAGGGTACATTCCCATCCTCCAATAGCCCCAACCCTGACCTATGCAGGATGAGATTTTCCTGTATCTTTCTGTAGCCAAGTCCACTTGCAGCCTTTTCATGGGGACCCATTCTCTGGCTGAGTCCCTGGCCATGATTTGTAACAGCTTTCTACTTCCTTCCCCCCCCCCCGGACATTCCTCAGCAGCAGTGGGGGCTTCTCTGACCTGTAATTCCCAGACTCCCTTGCAAGGCTAATCTGAAACTGGGCTGCAGGGGCCTTTCAGAGGTAACTCATGAGGGGCCAGAAGGATGGGGATCATGGAGCCCAGGGAGGACAAGAACTTGGTAGGCATTTCCTTGCCCCTGGCCACTGCCATGGGCCCTGTGTACCTTCTTGATCCAGCAGTAGCATTATTGCCAGTTGGTACGGGGCCCCACCTCCTCCCACTTCCTACCACACAGGTTCTCGATCTTAAGCCATGGGCACCTGCCTGCCACAGCAGACCCTTCTGCAGGGAGCTTCTAGCGGATATAAGGGCTTCCCTTCTCAGTCCTTGGATGCCACCCACAGCCAGGCTCATCCTGATATAAGGGGAATGAAACTCCCAACCTACTAGATGTCCAGTATGAGTTCGTGCTCTAAAATTGAAGAATGAATTTTAGGAACAACCAAGGTTAAGAGCAAAATATATTTATTGAGAGAAAGAAAGTTTCTGTCAAGAGACAGAAGGGGTCCCGAGTGGGTTGCCAAAGACTCTGTCTTTTTAGGGACTTTTATAGAGTAAAACCACAAGGTGAGGCTGGTCCAAGGTGGGGAAATAAGGAACTTTCATGGTGGGCATAAGGTGGGACAGAACTATGGTTAACCAATAAGATTAACTGCTCAGGTAAAATTGATTAAATCAGTAACAAACGGGGAAGCAAGTCACTAGCAAGCCAGCATGCTTAAAGAGCAGTGACTCTTCCCCTTCCAGTATTGGAATTATAACTCCTGGCTTCCTTGGTGTGATAGAGACCTATCAGTCTTTAGGATGTGGGTGTATTTGTTTGATCTTTTATCTTGAGGCCTGGCCCACAGTGGGAAGTGTCTGTCTCCCCACAGTAGGAAGGTATCTGATCTTTTGCACTGGCTATTTTGAGGACCTATTCCTGTCTGACTGCCTATAATATTTCTACTTAACTAAATTGCCTGTAACAATTCAGGGATTGTATTGCCCACTGTGTCTGTTGGGCAAAAAAAAAAAAAGAAAAGAAAAAAAGAAAGGCTGGCCCCCGAGACAAAGAGGTACCATGAAGGATGGACTTTCCCAAGATGGTCAGGCTCTGCTCCCTAAGAACTCACCAGTGACAAACCATGATGTCAACAGTTTTCATAGAATCCCCTATCAATATCTCCAAAGGTTGCAACTTTTAGTGTCCAGCATATGGCCTCCACTGGGCACCAACCCAGTGTTGATGGCCCCTCCCTGACAGCTGTCAGCTCTCCAAACAAGGTCAGCACCTAGCTCCCCGCCCCCCACACCATCTTTTGTTCCCAGGCTGCTCCTCCCACAGCTTTAGGTAACTTACTAAGATACTATAATGTCATTAGCACAGCAGTAGGAATAGAGCTGGTTTCACATGATCATTTCCCAGGACATCTGGGTGGATGGTGCTGGGAGACACCTAGCCAGCATCCTTTCTAGAAGCAAATGCCCAGGCTCAGACCCAGAGCCCTCTTCTCCCACTCATACCCAGTACACAGAACCCTCTCCTTGTCCTCATGAGGACTTGAACATCTTTCTTGACCATGACAGAAGGGGCCCTGCACATCAGGCTTCAGTGTCTATGTCCTTGGCTGGGTCTCTGATGCAAGGAAATAGAATGAGGTAACAGATAAGGGGAACTAGGACTCAAGAGGATGCATAACATTTGGAGTGGGGGAGTTCAAAATTAGCCTCGCTAGTGATTATTCGGTCAACAAACTCACCACAAGCACTCCTTCCACTTACTTGCAGTGTTGTGTACTTGCAGAGTACAAAAGAATGTCCAGCAGGTATGTCTCAAAGAAGGTACCACTGCTGAACTGCCCCAGTTGAACAGCCATCACTGAATGGCTGAAGGCAGGCCTGGGCTCCACAGCTCTTAGTGGGTCATGGCCCTTTGGAAGAAGCACTGGGTGGCCACCAGGAGGCTTAAATTCAGAGCCTAGTTCCATCTGCACCTAGCTGTGTGACCTTTCTCAAGTGTCTTGCTTCCTCTGGGCCTGTTTCCCAAGATGTCACTAGAGAGACATCTCCGGTGACATCCTTGAGGTTGCTCCAAATTTCATGGCTATACTGCCCACAGTGAGGGAAGTTGTGAACATACTATTGTACCTCCGCCTCATTTTCCTCATGAGAAGGATGGTAATTCTGACTTTAGGGGCTCCACGGAGTGCAGGCAGAATACCCAGCCCACATGAGCACTTGAGCCATGCTGATGATGAGTACCCAGAAGAATAGCCATGATGTTGGGTCCCTTTTAGGCACCCAGTGGGGATCACTGCTTCCTTGCCCATGAATTTTCTGTCTCATGTATTACTATACTCCTGACAAAGCATGCTCCAGGAGCCAGGGACAGATGGTGGCTTGTGTGCAGGCACGCACAATGGTCCTTGTTCTAGCAATAGTACACACATGGAAAGGAAGGGTGACTTTGGCCAAAGTGGCCTTGGAACCATGTTGTTACCTACGAGAGTTCCTAGAGATCTAAGCAGGTGCCACAGACAATGCAGATGGAAAGTGGGTCCCCTCACCCCAGCACCTGAGCTGCTAGGAAGGCAATGCTAAAACACATGGAACCACTAGAGGACAGGACACAACACCTTGTCTTCTGTCATTGCTTCTCTTCCCTCAAGTGACCTGCTTTCAGGGGCAGTGTTCATGTCACAGATATCTGGAAGTTCAGGAACATGGGTGACTGCCTGAGACATGGGTGGAGAGCCAAGTTCTACCACTAGATGTCCAAAGAAGCAAAGCCATCCAGAGCATGAGCAGCATAGTCCTTGTGGCCCATGGGTACAAGGGGCTGGGGGGTTGCTGAGTGGAGAGAGCTTACAAAGAAACTTGAAAGCTACCTAAGGGGTAAGTTAGCACATAGGCAAGTGGATGTAGGAGCTGCAGGAGATTTTAGTTGGGACCCCTTGACCTCCCTTCCTGAAGGGAAGGGACTAAGAGCTTAGCTCCTGAGATTCAGCCTCTAGAATATTCCACCCAAATTAGTGCTGCTTCCACAAGCAGACCAAATTTGTGAAAATGGAGAAAAGCTGTGATACACAAAGCCAACCAGCCAAAAAAGGAATGAAATAGCACAAGCTTGTTACCCAGATGCAACATCCTTGGAATATCAGAGGTCAAACTGCTGTAACCCGGCCCATTTTACAGATCAGGCACCAGGCAGTGAAAAAGCCTGGTCTAGTTCTTTAGAGCATGCCTGGCACAGGCCCACCTTGCAGTGCCCCTGTTATAACACCCACATGAAGAGATCATTGATTAAGGAGGAGGCTATGTGGCCTTAGAATGCTGGTCTCTCTCTGCTCCTTGCCTTCCTCATCTTGCAAGTGTGGAAATTAGAGTCTATCAGCATCTTCAAGGTCCTAGGGAATGTGCTGCTAACGATTCAGGTGACCAGCTAACCCACTCAGACTCTGAATCCCAGAGATCTCTATCTGATCTCTGGTGGCTTCTCCAGGGCTAGCTTGTCCCACAGTTTGCCCATTCTCTCCACTCCTCACCCTGCCCCCGAGACTCTCCACTAGGGAAAGACAGCTCTGCCCAGAACTAAGTCCTCCTGCTAGCACCACCCGCTTGGATTGTCCTGTGTGCCCTTGCTGAGGCATCCCACAGAGGCTGCAGGTGGCAAGTCCTCGGTGGAAAATCTTCCCTTCCCCCTTCCTAGGGTTCTGGCCCCATACCTTGCCTCTGAAGATTGACCTTCCTGGATCTCTGAAATAGTGTACTTACGTGCCAGAGGAGGTACCTAAACACATGATGATGAGGCACTTTCCTAGCACTTCTTAGGCCATGGGCCACTGCCACTGAGACAGGATTAATTAGAGAAGAATAGAAGAAGTTGTACGTATTTACAGGGCGGTCCTTGACATTTGAAGATTCAGGATCAATACTGTTAATTATGTGTAATAGTAATGTTAAATATATATGTCTCTTCCTTCACTGATGACTCTGGGCAGAGCCTATTTCCAGGCCCTGGTAAGGGAGCAGGTCTTGGGCCCAGTGAGTGAGCCTAGCTGACCACCTAGCATTAGCGCTGCATGAAAGCTTGGGGAAATTCGCAGAGCCCAAGGCATAGCCCTCAAGACTGTAAAGTAGCATTATTATAGGGCTACAACGTGGCACTGTACATCTCACCCCTACCTTTGTACACAGGTCACAGTGCACTGGTGAGAAAGAGGTCCAGACTCCCAGGCCTAAATTCTAGTCTCAGGTTTGCTGTTACCTTCTGGGTGACGTTGGCAAGTTCTCCTCGCTGGCCTCACTTGAATGCCCACCCACAGCATGAAAGATTTACCAAGCCCAGTGGTTCTCAAGGCAAGGCCTGTGGACAAGCACCTGGAAGCTTGTTAGAAATGCTGTTCTCTGGCCCCCTCCTCACCCCAGACTGGTGACTCAGGAGCTCTTGGAGGGGACCAGCACTCAGTGATAACAAGTCCTGAGAGTGGTTTTCATACAACACTCAAGTTTGGGAGCCACTGGCCTGGATGCTTTCTGAGGCTCCGTCCTGCTCAAACTTTCAATGGTCTGGGCCACATACCCAGGGCAGCAGGCTGCTGGAGAGTGGGGTGTCATCACAGGAAGGGCTGTGGAGCTGGATACAAGACAGCCTGGTGCATAAGGAGACCAGCCAGCTCTGGGCAGCAGCACAGCACTCCTCCCACCCCTAACCCATCCTGCCCCCCTCCTCTCTGAACTCCTAGAACTCTCAAGGGAGCACAGGTGGGAAGGCTGGCTCTGCCCTCTCTCTTCCCCTCCACCCCTCTAGAGTTCACAAGATCATCCTTTCCTTCCAAGAGACCATTTTGAAACTGAGAGCCAGAGAGACCTCTAGTGGCCAACTGACACCAGGGCTTCTCCTGCTGTCTTGGAGTTAGGCTGAGCATAGTTGAAATCTGGCCATTTTAGGGAGGACTCTTGGGCTGCACATCTGCTCTGACCTCAAAGCCCAGCCTGGAATTACAAGCAGATGCCTCACTCAAGCCACACCTGCAGAGAGGAGACAGGACACTGCACACACAGCCTCCAGCCAGCTAGACTGCAGATTAATCTGGGCAGGACTTTGTATCCCAGCTGCCGCCACCTCAGTCAAGCTGAAAAGCTTCTTAAACTGGTTTACTGAGTGCATAGTCCTTAGGACAAAAAAACCAGGCTGTCAGTTTTCCATTCAAGCCCACTACAGCATGTGCTATCTCTTGCTTGCACAAAATCCACTCTCTTCAGCAGCCCTGGACAATGAAGATTGATATCTGGCCCTAGGTTCAGCACTGTGAGGGGGATTTCACAACTTCCTTAAGATCACCCAGCAAGCTGGTGGTGGGTCTGCAGCTGGAGCAGGGGCTAGGGGCCCCACCCTACACCATGACTTACCTCTGAATAATGCTCTAACCCCGGAGAAGCTTTGCCTTAGATTAGCCTGCATTCTTGTTGCACCTGGTGCTTTTGTAAACCCTGAAATTTTCTGCAGACAAAGCGGAGAGAGCCCAGGGCTTAGGGTAAGAAACCACAGTGTAGGAGACTTGAACAAGGTGTGCCTCCGTTTCTAGAGACTCCCAGATTATCGTAGGGGAGAGACTGTAACAGCCCAGGGCTAGGACGGGACCAGGAGCTGTGAACAAAGCACAAAACGAGGGTGAGCCCAGAAAGAAGACTACTGCCTGGAAAGCAGGGTTAAAGACCAAAATACAATCTGCTGTCTGCAGAAGTCACTGCCCCATCTGAACACCAAGGCCAGAATGCTGACTTTGGGGGCCATATCTCCCCAAAAGTCTGTCTTTCAGTATGTGAGACAGGCCCCTGATAAGCAGTAGGAGTCATGAATCTGAGCTTGTGTGTAAAAGGAATTCCACAAGAGGAAGTGGTCTTTTAGAATACTCCTTCTAATCAGGTGAGTAGACATACCTGTTTAAAATGAGGGAGACATTAGGAAGAAATTGCAGGTAGATCCTAGCATGAGCTGCACTCCTGGGGTTTAACACCATAGCAACGGGCAGCCTTAGCAGGTTCCAGGAGGAAGTGGGAGCAAGGGATGAGGAGTGGCTTGCAGTTATGTGCAGAAACTAATTCCTGGCTTCTGCACCACAGGCAGGACAAGCTGAAGATCCACATGCGGAAGCACACGGGGGAGCGACCCTACCTGTGCATTCACTGCAACGCCAAGTTCGTGCACAACTACGACCTCAAGAATCACATGCGCATCCACACCGGGGTGCGGCCCTACCAGTGCGAGTTCTGCTATAAGAGCTTCACGCGCTCCGACCACCTGCATCGCCACATCAAGCGCCAGAGCTGCCGCATGGCCCGGCCCCGGCGCGGCCGCAAGCCCGCCGCCTGGAGGGCTGCCAGCCTGCTCTTTGGGCCCAGCGGCCCCGCGCCGGAAAAGGCGACCTTCGTGATGCCGCCCGCACTGGGCGAGGTGGGCGGCCACCTGGGCGGGGCGGCCGTGTGCCTCCCGGGGCCCAGCCCCGCCAAGCACTTCCTGGCAGCGCCCAAGGGCGCCCTGAGCCTGCAAGAGCTCGAGCGCCAGTTTGAGGAGACGCAGATGAAGCTGTTCGGGCGCGCGCAGCTGGAGGCTGAGAGGAACGCGGGGGGCCTCCTGGCCTTTGCGCTGGCTGAAAATGTGGCCGCTGCGCGGCCCTACTTCCCTCTCCCCGACCCCTGGGCTGCAGGCTTGGCCAGCCTCCCCGGGCTCGCCAGTCTCAACCACGTGGCCTCTATGTCTGATGCCAACAACTAGGCTGGCCCTGGTAGACCTTTCCCACCAGCCCCATCCCCTCTTACCACGCCTGAGCTGCCCCAACCAGCGGCTGTGAACATCACGCTTTACAAACACAATGGGAAAAGAAACAATATAAATTAGCAGCCTCGTATTCCACGCCTCCGAAGGCAGCACCTCCCTTTTGCTGCTCTCAGAAATGGGTTTCACCTCCTAATGGGTCTGGAGCCTGAAGCCTCCTCTCTCTGGCTGTTTCTCTGTGTTACACAAAAACTTACAGAACCCAGGTTTCAGCAGAGGGCCATATGTTGGTGCCCAGAGCATCGTGGAACCCTGGGATCTATACAGAGGGGATTGTTCCTCCTGGAGGTGGGCAGGATGGAGGAAGAACAAGGCTAGGGTCCTGAGTACACAGCTTGGTTGAGCCCCACTGTCCGAGGGGAACCACTTCCATCACTGCTCTGGGGCTCATTTTCCAGTGCCCTGAGGTCTGAGGTCTGGTATCCTTTAGAACAGTTACCATAGAAAGAGGTCCCATTGACCTGGAGACACCCAAGGACAAGGAGCCAATCATTGGAGTCTGATCTGTGTTCCCCTTGCCCGTCCTATGATCTAGAACTGGTCAGCCCTCTGTCTGTGCCTCTGTGTCACCTACTATGAAGGGGTTTGGTAATTTAGATTCCCCTCACCCAGCTCCTGTACCTATGTACATCTGTCCTCTAAGGAGGATCCTGGAGAGGTGGGAACTTTGCATCTCCAGTTTTCCTGGATAAAGTTTCTCTAACTGGGTACTTGGTTTTATTACTTCCACCTCCATTTTGAACATTATTACAAGCAGGAAATGTGACCAAACTAGACAAGGGGAGGCTATGGGGAGGGTGGACCACTTGTCTATGGCCCACAGGAAGCTCAGGGGGACTCCACGCTGCCCCATTTCCTGCAAGCTTTGTTTGGTCTGCACTGCTGGGAACACTGGTCAGCTTTGCCCCCTCTTACTTACCATCTTCAGTGTTGGACAGAGTTTCTTGGGGTTCCTGGGGCCAATGTCAAAGGGACAAGGCCAGATACTTGCACCTGACAACCGTCTCCCTTCCCCCTGATTTCAGAGCAACAAAGCACCTAGTTACTCAGGCTTCATGGGTTTGCTTCTCAAGGTGGGGTTCCTGCTGGCCCCCCCTTTTCAGTGTTTCAGCCTCTCCCCATCCCTTTCCTCCACCCTCCAGGGATGAAGTTCAGGTATTTGGTTTTCCTCTTGGCAGAAGGGCCCAGCGTGCGGGCGCAGAGGTTTGAGGTTTGAAGGGCCTTGTGTCTGAGGACATACACTGGCCTGGTCAGAAGTTGGTGGCAGGTCCTGGAAGGAAGACAGTTGTGCTGGCCCAGTGCCTTCCTGACTGTACTACTCTTTTCTTCCCTCCCTCCTTTTTCTAGCTGAGTCTGCTTTGACTGCTCAGTGTCCTGGAGAGGAAAGTGCACCTGCCCAAAGAGTCCAGGACTGGAGTCCCCGGCCCCAAGCTGTGGCACAAGAGCTTGGCTCTTCTTATTGCCTTGGCTTTTTTTCTGAGCAAACACAAAAAACAAAAAGGCCAGAGAAGACCACAGACTCTGTCCCTCTCACAGCTCCCCAGAAGAGACTCCCTGAGTCCCCATGTCATCAGATGCCATTTCAGCCAGGTGGAAACCTTCAGACACCCTCTACGGTGACCTGCCTGGGTAGCCACCTCTTAGATTCTTGTCTCCATTTCAGACTCTTGCTTCTGGGACCCACCAGCCAACATGCCCATGCTTCCACATCACCAGGGGACTGGGGCTGATCTCAACTCACAAAGACAAAATGAACAAAGTGGAATCCAGTGGTATTGGGGCTTTTGTTTTTATTTTGTAAAGGTAATGACTTCTTATAAACTCCAATTTTCAGATGTCTGGTTAGTTCTTTTTTTGTTCTTTCTTGGCTGCAGTTTGGAGTTGTACATTGTAAAATATCCAAAGATGTTCAGTACTGTATGATCAAGAACTTGAAGCAAATGGGGATGTGGGGGGAGGGGTGCCTGTTTTATTTTGTTTCAATTTTCTTTTTGATATTTCTAATTTCCCTATCTGTCTGTGGGAGAACTTTGGAATTTTTTCTATTTATGACTCTTTTTATGTGATTGCTCTATGTAAAAATGACACTCAACAAAGTTTGCCTTAGTGATTCAAGGGACAATCTTCCATAACTTTGGTTGCACGCAGCATCCTGCCAAGAAACTCTCAGCTAATTTTCTGGCCTATTTATTAAACAGTATTAACTGACTTGTTTAAATCATATTGAGAGTTGTGCTTCTATGAGATGTCACTGCTGGGCATTCCCAGGGCAGCTTTTCGGCAGCTATATGGAGAAGTTTGGTGCTTAAGGTGTACCCCATTGGGTATCGTATGTTTCAAATAATCTCAGAAACATCTTTCAAAAAACCTTGACCTTTGACCTTCCTTAATCATCAGGAAGACAGTGAGTCAAAGCACCTCTGCGTGCCTCGCTCCAGGGTAGTAATGAAATCCCCTTCCAGGTCACATTTCAGGTGTCAAAGGGTGTTGTGTGCTGGTTAGACTGAGCTCAGTCCTTCATAACCTCTTACCTTGCAGTGCTGAGAGGCGCTGTATGATGGTAAACTACGGGATGTCTGAGAGCCTGCACCGGGTGTGTGTGTGTGTCTGTGTGTGTGTGTGTGTGTGTGTGTCTGTGTGTGTGTGTCTGTGTGTGTGTGTGTGTGTGCGTGTGTGGTCACACGTGCCCAGGTGTAGCCTGGGGTGTGTGAACATGGGGAAGTCCCAGGACTGCTGACTGTCAGCACAGCTGGTTATACTGGTTCCCTAGCATGATGCCCAAGCAGCCTTCAGCCCAGCTCACTGCCATGCTGGCCTCTTCCTCTCATCCTTGGTGTAGAATTGGGCTTCTCTTCTTCGGGTCACCTGAACCTGTTTCCAACCACAGACTATTAGATCTTGAAGGGCTTCATTGAAAGGACTTCACTGAAGTCCTTTAAAGGACTTAGACCCAGGGCATATTGAAGGCGTAGACTCAAAACAAAACTCTTAAGAGTTAAATTATTCTTTGAACTGCATTTTCTGGATAACCAAGGGCTAACCTCCTTTCTGTTTTCAATTCCTTTTCTTGCTGTCGTAGGCACTTTGGGCAACATTTCTTGATAGAAAAGAACAGTCTGGCTTTTAAATCTAGACTCCTCTGAGCTGTGTGCCCTCAGGTTAATCACTTCTCCACTGTCGTCTTCTCTTCCTGATCTCTTGTACTATAGGAATTTCCAAGTTCTCCACCCAAGCATCCCTTAGCAGGGGGCTCAGCCAGTTGGATGACAAGGGATGGGGGGCTTGAATTCTAAAGAAATAGCCTGAAATGGCCTTCGTATAGGGTAATGCTGCTTTGAAGTTGCCTGTTATGGTTTTGAAATTCTTGATTTGTATTCTATTACATAACATGTGTGCATTTTCTTCATATAAAAAGAATGTCTTGAACTACCTGCCAGGTAAAGTGGTTGGCTTTTCCAGAATCTTCTAGTGAAGTCAGAATGTTCTATTGGTTAGCCTGTAGCTTTAAGAGGCCCAGACTCATAGCTGATGACCGATGGCTGGGGGAGGGCACAGCCTTCTGCAAGAATACAAGGCCATGAGATTCTGCTGACTTACTTTTCAGGATGCTTTGATCCTCATCCTGGAGCCCATGTCCCCTGAAGGATGGGGTGAAGATGGGGAAGAGCTAAGGAACTGGACTCAGTTCCTCACCCCTGGAGCACCTGTACATCTGATTGCTCCTGAACTCATGGGAGTAAAATCTTTTAGCCCCAGCCAGGTAGAAATATTGTGGAGATCATCAGCTGTGGTCTCAAGGTGCTAAGGGAACTGGGGTGCTGACGACAAAGGACCTTCAGGGAAAGGAAGGGCGGTGGTAGAAGGAAGATGAGGCCTCTGAGGCCAGCGCAGAGAGGTATGCACAGCTTTCCCTGGAGAAGAAGGCTTATGGAACACACAGAAACACAGTCCAGGGCTCTCTATGTGTGATGAGAGGTGGAAGGGTTTTGCCAAGATTTTAGCCAACTCAGTCCAATAGCAGAGCGATTCCAGGAGGCAACCAGGGCCCACTCGTAGGAAGATGACTCCTAACATCTGGAGCTGTCGTAGAGCAGAATGGGGTCCCTTGGGAAGGAGTGAGTTCTCTGTCACTGGAAGGATTCAGTCTTTCAAGAATGCTAGAAAATAGATTCCTGCACAGGATGGAGGGCTTGCTTTCTAGATGGCCCTGTGGGTTCCTCCTATCTGGTCTGTGAAAGGCACACATATACCTTCTTTGGCTATAGGAGGACTGCCAGAGAGACTGGTGACAAGAAGAGTTAAGTTCACAAAATCCACCTGGTGACTCAGGACTGTATGCCCTTCCCACACTGCCCTCACTGATGGCCTAGTGCAAGTGGGGACCAGAGAAAGGACCTCCATAGAGAAGGCCGATACACTTGGAGCTCCCAATGTGCAACAAAAGACCGTGAACTGATAGGAGGGGAGGCTGCCTGCTCTCAGATCCCCAAGAAGTGTGACCCCGGAGTTCACCCCTGTCCTAGTGGGACAGAATCCTCCTGCCAGCCTCTTGACTACAGCTTCCTCCTCTTTCCAGTGCCCTTGCTGGTGGCTGCCTGAGGGTCCTCTGAGCTCACCAAGTATAAGAGCAGGCAGCAGTCCATAGGAGGGGACACCGTCAGAGAAGGGCACGGCAAGGACAATCCCTCCAAAGTGCCAGGTGGAGCTAGACCTAAGAATGGGAGACTCTAGCCAGGGGCCTCCCAATCCAGTCCTTCAGGCACTAAGCCATGAACCCAGCACCTTTGCTGAATACCAGACACCTGGGATGTCATGAGATAAATTCTAGAATTAGAGAGGGTTGTAACCAATGAAACCTCCACTTCCAACCACCTCTCCATGTCCTACCTTCTCCAGGCTCTTTGTTCCCACTCTGACCTCAGCCTTCTGAAAGGGAGGCCCTTCTGCGGACCCATTGCTGCCCTCTACCTTCTGACGCCCAGCCTCCCTGCAGAAGAGGCCCTGATAGCTCATGGGCTCCCCCTGCCGGTATCCCTGCTCCTTGTTTTGACTGAGCACAGCCACAGACCTCAGGCCTCTGGCCTCCAGCAAACAAATAAGGACAGCTCTTTTGGGCAGAGGGCACCAGTGCAGTGTCAGCTGCTGGCCTGATAACCCCCCAACCAACTGCCTGACTCAGGAGGAGACCAGACATGCAGGAAATGAGTAACTTTCAGGTTGGAAGGCTGAGGATTGAATCAGCCTAAATTGAAGGAAGGATTCCCTGGAGACACTGGCTTCTTTTCCCTTTGTGACTACACACTGCAGGGGAGCTGCTGTAGGGACCTTGAGCAGAGGTGCCCACATGACCTGAATCCAAAAAATGAACCCAGAAAGGGTCTTACAAATCAGGGCAAAACCACTTAAATCTCTCCTGGGAAACCTGGAAACTGATCACTTTATCTGCAGCCAGGCGTCCCCACCCCAATCAGTCAATCATCAGACAAATGATGCCCAGGCTGATGTCACTTCTCCTTGTAACACTAGGAGACACACTGCTGCCGAACCAGACACGACAGGGCCATTTCCCTGTGAGTCTTCCTTCTGGAATATTTATCACATTTATAACACACTCTCTCATTTTCATTCTGCCATTGCTCTCTTTAAGTGTGAACTCTGACCCCGACCACAAAAGCAAAAGAATAAACCAGTGGGTTTCTGGAATGGGGAAGACCCCTTTCCCATGTTCCTCTAAAAATTAATACACAAAACACTGACCCTCTGGTTATTGTAGGTGCCTTAAGCTTTCTGCATGGACTCGTACATCCATCGATCATCCAGTTCTTAGCCCTTTGAGAAATAAATCATTATAACCCATTTGCATCAACCAGAGTTCCTAGGCAAATGTCAGTTTAAGTAGAAAAGTTATTTATTAAAAGAAATTAAAGCTATCACAGAATTTCCACAGGGTCAGAGAGTCAAGCTTGCTGGGCCACCAAGATTAGTTGTGCAGGCAGCACACTGCACGCCACCACCCACCCCGTTTGAGGGAGTGACATTCATACCCCGGCAGATCTGTGCCTTGGTTAGACAATAGATGTGCATATTATGACAAATTTCCACCAGGTGGCAGTAAATTGTATTGGAGGTACGCCCTTGGCTAATTAGCCAAGGTAGTCTCCAAATAGCCTAGGGTGGCCCAGGAAGCCAGGAAGCCAAGTCAGGAACAACCCCAAACCACACAGTATCAGATTTGATTCAAAACTGCTGCTGGATGCAGATCCCAATACTCATCACCAGCCCTGGGATCTGGACATGGGAACCCTGCCTCTGTCGCCCCCTTGTACCACTATTCACCCTGGAAAACAGAGTCCACACATCCATCCCTCCTTGTGTTGCTTCCCATGGCACAAAGTTTGTGCTGCGACACCTGACTGGAAGAGCCAAGCATCACGCAGGCCCATGGGGATACAAGTTCCTGGCTTCTACATGAGTGTGTGTGCATGATAATGTCATTTTCCTAATAGCAATCACATCACAGTGCATGAGGACCTGAAGCTCACGGTAAAAAATGGTAAAGACAGGGCATGCTCTGACAGAGTGAGACTGGAAGCCCAGGCCAGCACCTCTCCAGCTGTAGCATCACACTGTCCCCTTAAAAGTCGAGGGCAAGAATGAAGGAAGGACACTTAGAACCAGCCTCTAGAAATGATACATTCTGGGCACTCTTCTCCTGATGCCAGAGCCCTCTGTAGGTCTTGGCAAGCACTCATCACTACACATATGCACACAGACACACAGACACACAGACACACACACACACACACACACACACACACTCCAAGCCTAGGGAGCACCCAAACCCCTTTCCCAGCAGTGAGCTCTGGCCAGCATGAGGGGACTGTCCATCTCCCCTGTCCCTCAGAGGTGGCCCTGTGAGCTTCCCATCACATCCAGCCTCCCTCCTCAAAAAAGGCTGTTCTGTTGGCTCAGCAGAGCCTGGGTGTGTGTTTTTTTTATTTTATATATATATATATATATATTTTTGTCTTTTTCCTTTTTATCGGTACCAGGGATCGAACTCATGACTGCCTGCTTGCAAGGCAGGCGCTTATGCCTGCTGAGCTAAATCCCCAGCCCCTGGGTGTGTGTTTTTGTTTTCCACTTCTACACGACTTCTGTGGGAGCTATACCCTAAAGTGGAAAAGTGCACTTTATTTCCCAGTGACTGGGATATGGCAG